ATCAATGATGGATTAAGATCCATCGATAATATTATTGATGAAAATTATCAACAAAATGTAACGCCTCGTACCCTTGTTTAGAAGTTAATAAGACTCTATCGATGAGAAGAAGGGTCATTTGACGTAAATCTAATTGTCAGAGGATGGTGATAGGTAAAATGAATATTCTAAAACTAAATAATTTTTTATGAATAAAATATTATTAAATTATTAATATTTTATTTATTAGTGAGATTAATCAAAAAGAGAGGGTTATATGACTAATCTAAGTAAGGGAGAAGAAGTAAAGAAGAATTTTGAAGAAAAACGATGTTAATGGAGGCCGCGTGTCTTTATTAAATGAAGCTGAGGTGGGTAAGTATATATTTAAATATTATGGTGACACCTTCATGAGATGCAAACCTTATATTATATTTATATACATGTAAAGGAAGGAAAATAGGAGAAAATTGAAATTTCAGAAGTGTGGAAGGACTAAATTATTAAGTATGAAAATTTAGAGGGTCACACAGTAAATAAAGAAAAGTTTGAGGACTTATGTGTAATTTTTAACATTTGAAGTTAAATGGAAATTTACCAACCAAAGAATGTTAGATTATGTGAAATATGAGATATACATGTGAAATTTATTATTACATGTAAGTTATGTTGGGCAAAAAGGAAAAATTAGTGGAGGACATATGAGACGCCCACCATGTGAAGTAAAAGAAAGAATAAGACTAAAATTTATTTGTATACATTGTGATTGGTGCATTGGTGGCCAAATAAGGGAAGAAGAAAGTGGATTGCATGTGATTTGAATGGGTCAAAGAATGACTAAATAAAAAAATGAGGTAAATGTAGTGAATGGAATAAAGTAGTCAAGAAAAACAAAAATGGAAATGTAAGTCACGTTGGAAAGATTTCAAAGGCTTTTGCTTTGTAATTTTTCCACACAAAATACAAAGAAGAAAAGTCAAAAAGCTATTAAGTCTTAGGTAATCCGCCTATGCAAAGAAGTGAAGAGAAAAGAAGAGAAAATAATGAAAGTGAAAGAATAGTCAATGAAGGTGGCAAGTGAAGGATACAAAAGCTTTTGACTTGTAATTTTAACCACATGTAAAGAATGAGGAAATTACCAAAATAACCAAACTTGGACAAGCCGTCCATAAGGAAAGAAAAGGAAGAAAATTTAAGTGGTGGGGCATTTGGGAGAATCCAATCACACCAAGGAATGGCAAAATATCTTGCCTTGAGAAAAAAATCCTGCACCTTTGGAAAGAACAAGAGGAGTGTTGGTTGGGAGCAAAGTGAAAAATGGGGAAAGGAAGGAAGGACAAAAGGAAGGAGGAGGAAGCTAAGAAACACTCGGCCAAGTAAAATTATTGAGAAATGGGTTAGATAATTGTGACTTAATTCTTGAATTTTTATACCA